GGTTGGGGTACATTTTTCATAAAATACTTTTTATAAATTTTTTTTTATAATGACATTTTTTATAACGTACGTTTTTTATAATATTTTTTTTTATAATCCATTTTTTATAAACCCAAATTTTATAATCTTATAATGGTACTAATATTTTTCAAGTATGACATAACATCGTCATTTCCAACGTACTCATAATATTGTGAAACTAATGAAAATAATTTTTCTTCTTTCTTTTTGCGGTGTGGGTCTTGTCCTTTCCGTACTTTCTGTCCTAATTGCAATTGTCTTAGAAGAATTTCTGTGTCTACTTGCTCTTTTTTGATTTGTAGGACACCTAAATGATAACCGTAGAATTAGAAAATCATAATGCGCTAATGATTGTAATTGAATAAGTTTGATATCGTTACCGGAAGGTATATCTTTAAGCTCAGTACGTAATACTTGTGCTGGCGGTGCTTCTGGATGAGCTTCCGCTTTTCTTTTAATGCCGGACACAACCTTGATTGCTTCAACTGCGTTAACATCAGGAATACATATGTGGTCACTCGCAGCACCTTTCACCAATTGTAAATCATCTGGACCACCGATAGTCACAGCTCGGGCACAACACTGAGAGGTTTTTTTACAAAGCCAGTACGCTCGTTTTCCTATAGTGCCGCCGTTTTTATAATACAGAAAACCTTCTAAGGATAGATGATAACTGGAACCTCGGGATTTTACTAACTCGGCCATGTTATTTATTAAAACCGTTACTTCGTTGCCAGTCGAAGAAGCTATGATGTATAGTTATTAAATTCTGTTCACAAATCTGATCAGATCAGCTCTGCTGTATATACATATGTTGACAAATCATCAGAATATAAATCTTAATTATGTTACATTCGCCATCCTAGACATTATACACAATAATGTCTCCACAAATAACAACAAAGTAAATAACATTACAAATCCTCCCGTCTTGCAACAGTGTCCATCCTCCATACCAGGTCCTTTCAAAATTATCATTCAAATTAAAAAGACGCCAACGGGTGTAGTAAACCCTTACTACATATATTTTTTAATATTTATTTATAATAATTCATTGTTCAGATAAAAATTGAAATAAAGTTACAGTACATTTGCTTTTGTACTAAAATTTTTTTATATAAATGTGTACATATAACGGATATAAATACATTTAATCTTCACAGGCCAGAAATGATAAAATAATCATCTATCAATTGGTAGATATATTTACCATTATACCTGTCCTCTAAACATTGAGTATAAAAAAATCGTATCACTCGCACACTCATTTACACGCTTCATTAATCAAAAAATCGCTGGATGTGATCAGAATCTAGCTATTTTTTTTACTTGGGTGTTCAGATAGATCTTGCATTTGAAACCCCAGCAATTTTTTTTTAATATGGTTATATTTTAATAGTATATCACCGTTATTTAATACTACGTATAACTTTACAAAAAGACACAAATAAATTTTGATATGAATTGATGCGTATGCGCAATTTTTTTGAAATTTGATTATACATTAATCTTAAATTAATTTTTCAACTCAAAAATTTCGATATTCACATCATACAAATTTTTTGTGTTAATTTGATCGGTAGCATGGTTATCTCATACATTTTAAACAAGTATAACGTTAACTTTTTCCGAACGTTGAGTTATTTATCTTTTCAGATACACAATATTAAAAATGATGGTTTTTTTATCAATCAATCCGATCAGTAAATAATTTATTTCTTCCGTATTTAATGAGAATTCTTCAGATGAATGGATCTTCGATTCAATCAAACTATTATCAAAAATCTTTAAAGAAAAATTGATTGAGAGTTACATTTTGGTCCATTTCCGTTTCTATTAATGAAAAAAAAAAATACTTTTTTGAATTTTTTTAATTTTGCCTGACATGAAGTGGTCTAAATCCATGGTCAGCTTGCTGTCCATAATGTTGCAGGTTAACTTGTTGTTGATTTAATAGTTGCTTTTTTAATGAATAAACATGCGCTTGATCATGATCGAAAGTTTGAGGTCGGTAATCTGTTTGAGGCTTATAATGTGGAGCTTCTTGAACTTGCTGCTCCTGTGGAACTTGTTGAGCTGGTTGTGGTACATAAGGCTTTACTGGTCCTATGTTAATTTGATTGGCTACTATCTCATATGGTATTCGAGCCTGAAATTTAAGGATCTCTTGAATTTGCTGTGGTACATTTGTTGAATAAGTAGGCTGAATTTCAGAAGACAATGGCTGACTTAGCCTCTTGTAGGATGATAATGTAGCTGCAGGAGGTTTCACGTACTGCTGTTGCTGGGGTTGATGCTGAACTTCTTGTTTTTCTTGCTCTTGTTGAAGATATATAGCCTGACGTTGTTGTTGATAAACATCGTTAAGAGGCACTTGTTGGCGCTTTTGGTGTTGTTGTAACTGACGCTGTTGATGCTGCTGGGCATAATAATTAGATCTTTGAGCGTAATATTCAGCCGCTGATGGTTCATGAGCTTGAATCAAATGTGATTGTTCTTGTGAAGCTGGGGTTTCATAGTAAGAAGCCTGACGTCGCTGGTGCTCAGAGCTCTCTTCTTGAGACGGCACAGTATATTCCTGGGGCTCATAATATACAACTTCGTCTTGTTGTGCTTGGTATTGGGCTGTTTGACGCCGCTCGCGTGGACGTGGTTTTGGTCTGTACTGATTGCGTGGAGCTTCTTCAATTATAACTTGAGGTGGTCGTTGAGCTAAGACTTGTTTCGGATAGTCTTCGGCAAACTTAGCAGCCTGAGCTTTTGCTGCTTCAAGAGCTTCGATTCTGAAAATTTCATCATTAGCTTATCGAGATACTTTTTCAATACGGGCTTTTTTTATCATAAATTTGTAAGAAGAAAAAAATTTCTTCGCAAAAATTGTATTTCAAAAACCAAAATTTTGGATGATTTAAAATTTATACTCCCGAAAAAACCTTCTCACTTCCGGATTAAAGATCTATCCCAATTTTTTTTTATTCTTCTAGTACATAATAATGAAGCCCACTATGCTTGATTAGTTGCATGTCACCTTCAGGCCTATTTTCAAAATAATTTTCAATTTTATTTAAAAATGTTTGCGATTTTCTAACTCAAAAAAGAACATTTTAAAGAAAAAATGCAAAAAAAGTCTGAAAAGTCATCCAAAAACATGTCTTAAATTTTTAGAATTCTTTCAATCATTTATTTATCAATTCCTAAAGCCCTAAAATAATCCGACATTTCTAAAAAGATTTAGGCATATATAAAATTATTTTAATGGATCTGAAAGCTGAATGAATTTAACTAAGAAAAGACAATTTCATTATTACATACCAGAAAAGAGCAAAAAAAAATTAGGAAACATCTGTGAAATATTTTTATAAAACGTTCAATGGTGATTTACAGCATCAAGGTTTTATCAATTATTTTGGAAATATGAAACTTTAAAAATATTCAGTTGATAAGAAAAAAATATGGAAAAAGTCATTATAGAGGGTTGCACGTATCGAATAAAAAATTTACCTTGTTTTTTCGGGTACGATATCAATATAAGGTATTTGAGCTTGATACTGAAGTATTTCTTGAATTGATGGGGGTGCTTTTTCAATTGGGTTGTAATTGACGTTGCCTAGAAACCCTGGATTTTGTTGATATTGAGGTTGAGGTTGAGCAGCTTGAGGCTGTTGTTGTTGCTGAACTGCAGCTTGTTGTGGAGCTCGTCTAGTAGAAGGCCGACGCTGAACGGGCCGAGCAACCTCGGGCTCTTGGTACTGAGTTTGTTGTTCGGTTGCTCGGTTATAAGATCGCCAGTGGACTTGATTACCTTATTTAAGAACATATAATTCTTACATTAATTCAACGATTATTTCATAATTTTGGTAAAGAAAATTACCATTTTCTTCTTGGTAATCGAATGATTTACTTGTAGTTGGCTGTTGATACTGTTGTTGTTCATAGTTATGAACGTAAGCTTGACTACCTCCATCAGTTGGACCATGGATTTGAAATTCAGAATTTCCATCTGTGGCACCTTGAATTTTAAAATCAGAGTTTCCATCTGTAGCTCCTTGAATTTGAAAATTACTATTTCCGTCGCTGGCGCCTACAATTGAAAAGCCATCGTTTCTTAGAGATTCTGAAAATTAAAAAATTTGTGTAGATGTACATCAAAGACAAATCCAATAAGGAAACAAATACACCTTACACTTAAAAAATTTTTTTAAGAATTTCTGAGAAGGATTTTTCCGTCCCTTTCTATTGAATTTTTCGAAATTCCAAAATTTTGATTTTTCACCGAGACACGGCTGTTCTCGTGAGCCTTTTCCCTATACTTTTTTTACGTAAATTTTAAAAACGTTGATCGCATTTTTTTTTAAAATTTTTGTCGGCTTGGGCATATAAGTTTCACGCCATTGGATTCAGGGGATCAAAATCTGTCGATATCGATTTCACTTTACATAAGAAAAATTTACATTTTTACAGCAGTAAAAAGTGCAATAATTTAACGAACATATAATACATAGGCATGATTAGAATTTTCACAGCCGGAGCCGCATAGAGTTCAGTTTTGAGACTGAACTTCGAAAGTGAGTTATAACGCGACTCATTAAGAATTGACATGCCGGTTAATTTTTTCTCGGTTATTTATTTCCAATTCTTAATTTAAATTGAGTTTAACTAATAATTAAAAACGAATTATTAAATAAATTTGAAAGTAATTAAAAAATTTGCAACCCTGCTGTGCAGGCGTGGTTATGACAAAAAAGACGAGGTGATAAGTTGCCCCGTGGTCATTAAAAAATTTCGGATCAAAAAATCGGAAAGGTTTACCCGTCAATAGAAAAGCTATTATACAATGATTCCTCGACAATAGTCTGATCTACTAGAGAAAACTTCAGCAGATAACTGAGTGTAGATTCCCAGTGAAGCTCGAAATTAATCCGATAACGATAAAATATTTCAAACGAGTACCTGCTTGATCAGTGTACTCAACACCTTTGTCTTGAGTGAACTTAAGACCCTGTGCTCGTCGATTTCCATCGCTTGGCCCTTGAATAGAGAATTGCCCAAAACAGAAGGGTAACAAAACGACGAAAACAAATATCTGTAAAAAAAAAAGGTACAAGTTTAAGTAAACCACATTTGATTGATGAATTATCATAAAAAAAGTTTAGAAGGCTGACGTACAGACATTTGTGAGGAATTTAATCTAGTTTATAAAATTGTAAATGAAATTATCTTACGATGCTTGGTTCAAAATCTCAAAAAATTACAAAAAAAACAACAATCATCGAAAGAAAAAAAGTATAATTTAAATAATCGATGAATATTTGAATATATTTTTGACGCTTCTTGCAACGCAAAAATCCTACAAAAGTAGCCCAACCGCATCTCGATATATGCCTCCGTTTAAAAGTTATGCTGGTTTTATACCAATCGACGTACGCGCACGCGGCACACACATACATTTGTTAGGAATTCAATCCAGTTTACAAATAAGCAAACCAAATTGTCCTACGGTGCCAAGTAATGAACCGCATTATATAAAATTATAATCTATGGGTAGTCTTCACTCTCTTTAGTAACTAAGTCATTAGATTAAGGAATTTTCTCGAAAAAATTCCAGTTTTCGGCATGTTTCCCGAGTATAAAATTTTTATTTTTTTATTCGCCATTGACTTCTTCCTAGGTCATTAAAATTCTTTTGATTTTTAAGAGGGATATTATAAACAATAAAAAATATTAATGATCAATATTATTTGCAATTAAAAGTGTTAATATGCTAAATTGCGTTACATTGAAAAGTAGAATATGTTATACAAGTTTTCTTTTTATCTCTCATTCTTTGAGATAAAGTAATTGCTTATAGCGCAGGTGAAAGTGGTAATATGGACGTTTTTGTGCATTTATACATTTATTTATATCCGCATCAAATTTTCTTCGCGATAGCTCGATGTACTACCAGCCGCGTTCATTAAAACCACACAGGCGCAATCATAAATGTAAAAACGTACATCGTTTTGTACACGGAACGACAATTTATCGTTGTTTTGCAATGGTCGTTGGCCGCTGCAAGACTTTCTTTATCTGTAGTAAGTGAATATCGAGCGCCTTACAAACCATTTGATAGAAAGAGACAGAGAGAGAAAGGAAGAGAGAAAGAGAGAGAAAGGGGACCGTCGATCTTTGCAAAAAAATGAAATAGAAAGTCGGCAGACCATTTACACGTGCGGTAAAAATAAAGACTTAAGATAAAAGTCTATCGACTTTTTGATCATTTAAATTTCGAAAGCATGCAAAGTCTTATGCCAAAATCTTGTTTAATTATTCTAATGATTTTGAGTATATATACAGCGAATAAATGTGAATAATACCCATATTTAAAGAAAACTTTAATTCTCTTAAAGGTTAATTAATTGTCAAAAAATTTTACAAGTTATGGAAACAGTTTCTATTTTCATTCAATTAATTCATTACCAATGTAGCCAACAAAAAATTATTAGAAATGTTAGAGCAACTAATTTTTTAATTAACATGACACATGAGCGAAAATTATTATGCTGTGAACGTCTAAAGTACACGTGTGCGATAATAAGTCAAGAAATTCGTGAAATTTGAAACGAGTTTGAATCGAGGCTTTTTTAATTGTGAGATAGACAAAAAATTCGTAATGTTTTACACGAATCAAGTTTAAGAAATATTGAAGTTATTTTTAGTAATAAATCACTGTAGTTGTAAAAAGTCCCTGAAATGAAAAATTGAATATACATTCTTAATAAAACTACAATATTTATCGTTACTTGATAAAAATAACAGATTTATGAATAAATCTACTCTCATTACATTTTAATCTGATGTATCACTTATGAGGAATATACTTAAATTCTATTCTTGAATCAGATTACAATTTATAAAATGTTATTATTTTTTAAATTAATTTTAGTCTATTATTAATTTTGTATAATTCATAGTAAGCAACGGACCACGGAATATCAAACGTAATTAGAAAACTATAAAGGCAGCTGCGCAGAATGCAATTTAGGATCTCTAAAATACCGAATATTTTACATATTGAGACCCCTCACTTTCACAATTTCGTCCTTCGTTAATTCAACCATTATTCGCGCGAAATGCATCGTTAACTCGAAACCGTAAAATCGGAAAACTACTTCATATTCAAAGCGCTAGAAATGATTCATTGTTAAAAATTTAATAATGCTTTTGTTCACCGTAGAATGGAAACACGTAACACCAATAAAAAAGGCGAGCAAAAAAAATTATGCACATCAAACGAGCAGATATAAAATATTTTTCGAGTATTTACCTGGGGTGATGTTGTCATAGCTATTATTGCGAGCTCAGCGAAAGAATAAATATTATACGAATATAAATCGTTACGGCTGTTGCTGCTGCTGGATGCAGATGCGAGCGCCTCGAGGGTGGAGTGATATTCTGAGGCGGGCGCGCTTAACTGGTAACAACTTTATAGGAATCGAACTAGACGAGAGTGTCGGCGGCGGTGGTATTTTCCGGCTCGCGAGGGGATGTGCCTCACTACTCGACGGCAAGTCACCTCTCTCTATTCCACGAGTGCAATGAGCCCACCGTGACAACGTATTTCTACTTACACACATCCACAGACTGCATGTGCGCGGATAAACAGGAATATCATCTAATAAGATGCTGTAGACTGGTCTAAATTAAGCAGGTATTTTTACAGGTTTTCTTTGCGTCGCTGCTGAACGCGTAACGAGCTCTAAAATCGATGTAACGTTTATGTAGGCCTTTGAAAAAACTGTTCCATCTACGAGTTGACACAGGCTTTGCAGTTTTTCACGCGACTATAAGGCGAAAGCTCATTTGAATTCAAAAAGCACCAAGATTTACTGAGTTGTCGTTGTGGCTTTCTAAAATCAAAGCAAAATCATTGGACCCTACAATCATATCGATAAATATAATAAAACAGTTTTCAAATCATTTATTTCATTTCTTTCGAAAACACACACACGCACACACCAGATATTTGAGTTTTTAAATTTCTTTTTAGATTCTAAGCTAAAATGAATTTTCCATTGATGCATAATCAAATTTCAAATCATAAAGAAGCAGTGTCTTAAAAAATTAGGAAATTTCAATGGTAAAGTGGATTTCTGAACGAGTAAAATATTCAACGCATAAAATGCTTGAAACGAAAGTGTAACGTAAGAGTATGCACACGCACATATACATTCTGTACGCCCGGATTAATATATACGGTACGGTCGAAACGTGAAGGCTACGAAAGTGAATCGCTTCGTTAGATATCCTTTCTTCCTTATCCGGAGAAATGCCAGTCTCTCGCTTGCGGGGCATTTTCATGTTCTGCTCAAACTTCTGCAATTCTCCGGCGTCTTTATAGATCTTGCCCGCTGTGAATGTTGCTTTATGCTAAAATACATAGTTTTTTTTCATTGCTCCTCTTTTGATATTTACTTTTATCCATTTTTAAAAGTCTTCATTGATAAAACTTTATTCGTCGATTCTGTAGGAACTTTGCCAATCATAAAATTGTGCATGTGGATTATATCGATACAACTTACCTCATTATTGATTAACTCAAGCTTGATGGAATTTTTTTTTCCCCGTACTAAACCAATGATTATTGAAATGTCTTCGTAAGGATAATTTCAACTTTCAACGATTAAGCGTAAAGAATCATGCAGTTATCAATTATAAATGAACTAGTACATAACGTAATAGTATAATTTTTTTTTTATTTTTTAATTTTAATTTTATCAAAGTTTTAGCTCTAAAATTGTTTCTTATAATTTTACATTTTGAAACGCAGCCTGACTTACACTGAATAAAATATAAATCGAAATAATTTGATCTTATATCGTGGAAAATATAATTTTATTAAAACAAAAAAATTGGTTTATGATGACCAAAACATTACAAATATATATTCATTAGATTTAATCATATAGATACAAAATATGAAAATAATAATTTATATTGACATTATACATTTAAAAAATATAACCTAAGAATATTATTATAGTTCATCATAACTTTACACTTTATTTAAAATTTTTCATTAAATTTTATAAAATAATAATACTTTGCTAACTCTTGTATTCGTACGTACTTTTTCTATTATAAACAATTTCAATTATCCTTAATTTAATTTCTCACGGACCTAGATTTGTGAAAAACAGGATTTTCTTTGCTTTCTTCAAATCGTTCTTCAGCTGCTGCAGATTCTTCTTCGTGCAATTCTCCGTCTTTCACGTAATAAACTTTACTGCGATACTTGTAAGTACTCCCGGGTTCTTGAACATCATCAGACAGAGGCTTCGGTATGAACATGCTTGTTGGCTTGTAGTAGATTCTGTTAGCGATAACATGGTACGGCAGCTGAGCTTGAAGATTCAAAAGCTGGTGAATTGCTTCAGGCATGCCGTCTTTGCGTTGTTCCTCTTCGCCAGAGAAAAAGAAATCTTTTTTCTTTTCGTAAGATGCAACGGTACTGGTAGCTCGTTCACCATCATAATCAAAGAAGGGAAAACTTGGCTTTGCTTTGTTAGCTGGAAATTTAAAGGGAAATTTTTGATTTTGTTCTTGGCGTGATTGGGCAGATGATGGAAATTGCCGATTGGGTTGACTATTTGAAAGAAATTCGGCAGACGATTGCTCAAACGCTTCTTGAGCTCTTTCGAATGATTCTTGCGACTGATCGGCATTATGTTGAGATTGATGTTGCTGTTGTTGTTGTTGTTGTTGTTGATAATGTTGTTCTACAGGGTATATGAATACTGATGGATCTATGTAAGGAAGTTGTGGCGCATACAATTTAGTCATGAGATTCTGAATATGAGATGGCACCGTAGAATAAGGCTTATACTGGACCTATAAACTCAAAAATGTTAGATAAAATAAAATTTCACTGTAATAATCTATTTTGTAATTAAAAAAAATTAATTTTTATTGTTACAATTAAATTTTTATTACTCGTGAGCATCAAAGTGACACTTATTGAACGCTTGTATATTTTAGCATTCGCTCTAAAAAGTAAACTAGAAGCTGACAAAATAATTATAATTTAAGCCTTAAACAAGTTTTTATACAAAACTTTAGGAAGTAAAAGTAGGTGTGCGTGTAATAATCACAGTCTATTTGACATTGACATTCGAGACGTTGAATAACTTCAAATTTTCTCGAACTACCTGTTTACTTTCAAAGTACAGACTGATCAAATATCTACAGAAATTATATCGATGCTGACAAGTTTTCAAAGCAACACTCGTTAAAGTGAAATGTATTAACTGATCAGTGAAAATAACTTTTACATTAATTTCCATACAAAATCTATGTTTTGAAAAAAAAGATATTTTCGCGACGAAAATTTTTTGTTTCTTTTTACCTGTTCCTGTTGAGAAATTGACTGTTGAGGTGCATCGACTCGCTTAATAGGTACAGTCGCAAATTTATCCCAGTCAACACGATTTCTCAAATGAACTTGGTGTTGCGCTATCCCTCCATTTTCAGCTTTATCAATGCGCTTACTTAAAATGCCTTGATAGGGTTGTATTGGAGAATGATTCGCAAAAAGTTTCCAGCTAATTTTCATACCTTGAAAAAAAATCCGTGGAATTTCAACAATATTTTGGCAATCGTACATGTATAAAATGAACATTTATTTATATGATGCATTATAATGATTTATTTCTTGCATGCAGCTAAATTTTAATATCTTTAATGAGATAAAAATGTTATACCATTGAGAATTTAAATCAATCTCTCGGTGCCAATAGATTTTATTATTCAAATGGACATTAATTTAACTATTCGTAAAACGAATTGGATTCACAAATAGATAGATAAAAAATTATCGTCTTTTATATATGTTATAAAAAATTGTAAGACTTTAAGATAGAGAAATGTTCATCGAGTTTTAATAAACAAAATTATATATAATTTATTATTTACATACCATCAGGCTCGACATATTGAAGATGTCCTACGGGTGAATAGGATAAACGATGTTGAACTTCGTGCTGTGCTGAGCAAATGCATAGTAAGAGGGCAAAAATTATCTGAAAACATTCATAAAAATGATTGTATCACGCATATTTCTAAATTCATTCACAAGAATTTCATTAACGACGAGGTAATTTCACAATATGATAAAAAGTAATCCATATAAATAGTTTGTTGGAAGTGTAGCTAAAGTCAATTATACAACATTTCTTCAGTTAGTTTAAATAACTGACATAAATTTAATATTATAAATAGTGGAGATTTCTTCCTTGGAGTAAGAAATTTCAATCATTTTTAAATTTCGAAGAAAAGAACTAGTTGAATAACTATACATTTAAGTAATTGTTAAAAAATAAACTTTTATAATGTGCATTATATTAATATTTGCTTTTAAAAATGATATGTATATTAAATTTGTACTGAAAACGGCGCAAGTATTAAATCAAAATACTTTGGCTCAATATAAATTGATTTTTATACGTGATCAAATTTATTTACCACTGAATTCATTATGAAGAAGAAGTGTTACTGAATGAATTGATTGTATAAAACTTGATGGTTGATAGTCGACCGAAAGGGTGATGTCGATGTCAGTGCACTATTTAAGATACAACGAATCTGTCGAACGAAAGCAACGTAAACTCTTCTATATAGTCGTCGTTACGGTAACTTGTTATAAGTAGCTTCTTGGTGCGATCCCTCTCCCCTCGAAACTTTGCCTGTATACTTTTTAAAACTGTGTGCATAACTAGAATTCTCAAGCAATTCTAGCGAATATGATTAACTAGGTGGAGGGAGAAAAACCCAGCCCCCGCGCATTTCCATACCACGGAATCGTGTGATTTTTATCCAGTGTACAAAATAACTATAGGCTTTTCTGATAATTTAAGGAAGTCTTACAGATAAATGTTAGCTTGCTGACGTGTAATGAGGTCTACATGTAAACGTAAAACTAAAATTAGTAACTTTTATGCTTACGAAGGAGGAATTGGATTGATTTACTAATTTTAATGAATATCGGTCTGTTTAGCATAAAAAATGTAGTTGATTTTCATTTTTTTTCTTGATTCTATCATGAATTTTATGCAGAATTTTCTGGAAAAATTGTGACGCAATAACAGTAGAATGCTCATCTTGATGTATTAAAAATTTATTTTAAAGAAAATGAAGAACATGAGTAAGTTAATCTCAGGTTAAGGAATTAATATATCTCTAAGAGGGTTTATTTGCTACACGTCAAAAATATGTTTTTTTTTATATAATATGCATAAAGCTGCTATAATGTCTTTTATCGAAAATTATTTTCAGAACTACATCATTTTTACTTGAAAAGCGGTTTATATATATAGAGATAACAAAGGCGAGAATAATTATCTTTTTTTAAATTTGTAATTTGTTACTTACAATTGGCTGGTAAATAGATAAGCTGTGATACAATTTACATAGCTATTATGAAGTAATCGCTAAGACCTTTTAAATGGTTTTTTGAATGCTAAAGAAATAGTTTTGTTCACTCGACGAAATTTTAACTTATTTTTAAATTATATATAGCAGAAGTAATTGCACGGAATTATAGATGCAGCAGTGCCAGATTTACGTTTTTAACCCATTAACGACCAAACTGCTTGATTTTTTTGTTATTTTCCGCAGCGATTTTTTTTGTAGTTTGAGGCCTCTAAAAAGTTTCGTATGGACCTATTTCAATGTAAAATTTAATGTCCTTTCAGAAACTGAGCTCAACATTTCGATTATTTGGGTAATAAAAAATTTATGGCTACTTACACGAAAAAAAACGTAAAATTTTTTGCAAAAAATCAGGTTTTTGATTTTTTTTCACCATGTTACCGTTAGAGAATCACGATATAAATATTATCAGGGGTGATCACAACTATCAAGGTATCTCAGAAAATTTTTATGGAATTTTTGAACTCTTTTTAAAACTTTGGTTTTGTGCACTTTTTCTCTAAATTCAGTAGTTTTCGAGTAAAAATGAGTTATGCTTTATGTGAATATAAGTTATTTTTTGTTTGAAGTAGTGGTTAGAAAATTCCATAAAAATTCCCTGAGATACTTTAATAGTCGTGATCACCCCTGATCATATTTATATCGTGATTCCCTAACGGTAACATGGTGAAAAAAAATCAACAACTTGATTTTTTGCAAAAAATTTTACGTTTTTTTTTCGTATAAGTAGCTATAACTTTTTTATCACGCAAAGAATCGAAATTTTGAGCTCCGTCTCTGAAAGGGCATTAAGTTTTACATCGAAATAGGTTCATACGAAACTTTTTAAAGGCCTCAAACTACAAAAAAAATCGCTGCGAAAACCAATAAAAAAATCAAGCAGTTTGGTCGTTAATGGGTTAAGGACCATAGGCGAAATTTTTAGGGGGGTGCCCATTAGGGTGTCCGTTATTTCCCGACTTTTTTGTATTGCTTCTCCCCCCACCTAGATGTCTTCTATTTGATAAGACAATGAGAAAGCCGGGTTATAGAGTTCGAAAAAATGATTTTAAGGTGGCCCCCAAGCGGCTTGAAGCTTACATGTATTTTAAATGGGAAAAACTTAAAAATTTGATTCTCAGCGATAAAAATGATGAAAAAATTTGAAAAAATTCAGCAACCCATGTATTTTATGTATTTTTTGACGAGGAATCGATTGGTGACCTTGAATTTGACCTTGAACATAACCTCAAAGCTACAGAGAACCAAAAATCGTTTTTTTCACAGTGACCCCCATTTTTTATTGCAGATTCGAAAAGAGCGGAAAATTTCATGTCTGATTATGTCTTTCGATTTTTTTTCAAGGGTATTCAAAAGGCGCTGCAGATATAGATAAAGCCCTAACTAGTAAAAACTCGAAAATTGCACGCTAAAATTAGGGTTTTATTTGTATCTGTAGCATCTTTATAATGCCCTTGAAAAAAAATCAAAAGACATAATTTGACTTGAAATTTTCCGCTCTTTTCGAATCTGCAATAAAAAGTGGGGGTTACCGCAAAAAAAAACGATTTTTCTCAATATTTTGTTCGCTGTAGCTTTGAGGTTGTGTTCAAGATCAAATTCAAGGTCACCAATCGATTCCTCGTCAAAAAATGCATAAAATACATGGGTTTGCGAATTTTTTCAAATTTTTTTATTATTTTTAACGCTGAGAATCAAATTTTTAAGTTTTTCCCATTTAAAATACATGTAAGCTTCAAGCCGCTTGGGGGCCACCTTAAAATCATTTTTTCGAACTCTATAACCCGGCTTTCTCATTGTCTTATCAAATAGAAGACATCTAGGTGGGGGGAGAAGCAATACAAAAAAGTCGGGAAATAACGGACACCCTAGTGCCCATTGAGATGAAAATTTTTCACATGAACTGGAAAATGACTAGATTTTCAGTTGAAAATTTTTGTATATACTATTAAATGAAATAAACAATACTTCAAGGAATAAAAATGTTACAATGTATTATTTTTAAGTCTTTTTTCGACTTTTCTCTTCGGCAAAACTATATCAATGATGTCAACAAAATTTAACTCACCAGTAAATTAAATTCCATGTTTATGACGGTCAAACTTGTCATACTCTATCTTACTTTATACATGCTCTGAGATTCCCAATTTCGAAAAAGCTAGTTTGCTCGCCCAATTTGTTTTCATTATAGTTGAATACGTTTTTAGAGCAATGCTTACATTAGAATATCATGCATGTAAATCATTGTCTCATTCGAGTTTATAAAGTTTTGCTTTAAAGTTTATTTTTCAATCTCGATTGCATAGATTACCTAATTGTTCTGGATAATTTGTTACAACGCGTCCGAATATCAATCATTTTTATTGAGGAGCGCGCTTCGCTCTCCCTCTGGCAAGTATGGCAGAGAGAGCTGCGGCGTACGCTTTCTCATACATCGTGATTGAGTTTTTCGCATCCCGCGAAAACTATTTTTCACTCTCATTTAAATTTGACAATAGATATCCTAATTCTGATAAGTGATATGGATTCCTTAGTAAAAATGGGACCCAACGATATATATTATGTCCACGAAAATGTTTGTTTCAACGAAAAACGAGCGATTGAAAAAAAAATACATTTCGCTAAAATTCTTATCAGCTAAAAGTGTTCAGACCAAAAAGTGGTTCAGACCAATGGCTATGTTCACGAGCTATATACGCCGTCGATGTGTTATAGTAATTTATAAATGAAAGCAGATGCGGTTATGTTCACGTTCAACGCATTGCTAGGCATAGCTATACGAATATCAGTCGACAATACTCTAGTTATGAGAACGGACTCGGTGATGACTTTACCCGAGCCTGTCGACGTTTTTTCGCAAGATTATCTCTCTGGGTGGCACGATCGTTGCTCTAGGTATAAATACGTACTCGACGAGGACTTTCCTCGTGGAAGTTGACGTTTTTTTGCAAGATTATCTCTTCGGGTGGCACGATCGGTGCTCTAGGTGTAAATTCGGACTGTCAACAACTTTTCTCAAGAAAGTCGCGATTTATCGATAACCTAAAGTGACCTAAGGGACTCAGAATACTCTTGCTGGTAGCTCTCGAAATTTGGAAATGAAGTCAAAATATAAATAATGCAAAGAATCATAATTTGTCTAGATTATTATTATACTTTGGCATGACAAATCAAAAGTTTGGATATTTTTCATCTCAAATTTGACTAGTAGGTGTAAAATCATTTTCGTCAATGAATGTTCAACTTTAAACTTTCTAGTTTTAAAATTGTTGAAATGAATTTTAAAAATCTAAAATGCAATTATTGAAATACTCGATAAAGCAGTCAAACTGAAATATTTATTTCGGACATTGAAGCTAGATTAATTATTAAGATAACATAAAATAATTCAAAATCGCGGTAATACTTTTTTCAAAAGATTAGACAAGTGCAAGTATGACAGTCTTATCCTTATATTTTTTAGTCTAACTCCTACTTTTTTTTCTCAATTTGGAAAAATCTAATATCAATGTGTAATCGAACTGTTTCGAGCTATGATAGTAACGAAATCAAATATATTCTGTCAATTATTTAGCACAACTGAAATTTTCCTTTTTCAAACTATAATTACAACCAAAATTTTATATAAATGTCTGCAAAATGTTTGGAATGATCGTTGAAAAAAAAGTAGTCGAATTTCTTAGGAAATGATGCGAGCGCGTACGCCGCGGCGTCGTACGTGTATCTGCGAGCCGCTGCTCAAGACGCTATTCCTGAGAAGCGGCTTGCAAGCAGCTTGAATTTTCGCGAAACGTTCATACAGCCCGAGCATATGATTTTCCCGAATTGAGATGCAAAAAAAAGTCGGCGATTGTATTTGCTCACCTCAATCAGTTGGATAAAATATTCGCACAGTGAACATCGACTGTTCAACGTGCTGTCTTATTCCTTTAACTTGTCATTTAGTTTTATTAATTGTTTTTTATAAAATTCACGTTCACGATCATGGGTAGAAAAAGAAGTTCCTCGTCAAATAATTCCGGTAGAAATCAGTGAAAAATTTAGTACATAAATGCCGATAAAGCTTTTTGTTCAGTGTGTAATAATAAAGAGCTCACTTATAAAAAAAGTGTCGTAGAAGACCACATAAAATCTCCTCAGCATTGTAATTCACTAAATCAAAATAATGAACATTACATCGAGCTCCAAAGAAAAACGGCTAGTGTAGAATTGAAACTGTGCGGACTACTCGTGGAACATAATTTGCCGAAGCTACTTTATTCTACGTTCATTCCACTCATTAAGAATGAAATTGATGGTTCGGAAATCGTGAAAAACATTAAATTAGATCGACACCGATCAGGCGAAATTATACAACGAGTGTTAACTGTGTCTCATAAAAAATACCTACAAAATATTTTAAAAAGTGATAAATTTCTATAATCGTCGATGAAACAACAGACGTCTCATCTGTGCACAGTCTAGGTATAGTCGTGCGTTATGTGGATCCCAGTAACAATAAAATCATGGAAATTCTGTGGGATTTTATATGTGTTTACGACAAACCCGGAACGATCGCAACAGCTGAACACATGGAAAATTTAATTGTCAATTCTTTCCTTGACGCCGAAATCCCTCTTACGAATATAACTGCGTTCTGTGCCGATACCTGCAACCTAATGATGGGTGAGCACGATTCAGTTGCCTCGAGATTAAAAAAACGTCTACCACATATTTTTATTAATCCGTGCAACTGCCACATTCAGCATTTGCGTACTAAATATGCTTATGAAAAGTTGAATTTTGATAGCATAAAATTAATATCCTCCATTACTACCTATATTCGAGCAAGTCCAAAACGATTAAAGATGTAGGAGGGTGTACAAAGCTAACAGTTTATAATACTGTACGTTATATTCTTAGCAGATGGGCTGCGCTCCTAGAATTTTTCGACAAACAATCAAAAGTCACGCCATGCCCAAAATATGCATCTGAAATTAAGGAATCATTGACGCAGTCAGAAGTTTTCGTGACGTTACAGTTTTTAGAATTTATTTTAGAGAAATTCAACGTTGCTAATGCAACTTTACAGTCGGCTCAGCCTATAATTGCGGAAAACAGTAGCTTGATTAGAAATTTACTATCGAGTATTTTAGAACTATTTATTAACAAAGATTATATAAATAACAATCAAGAAAACCTGAAAAATATCGATCCGTATAACAAATCTGAGTGGTTGCATTTAAATTGCATCGATATGCTACTGAAATCTTTTAGAGCTCTTTTAATTGAAGCGTGTCTCCAATTACAAAGTAAACTTGATCCCGAGGAGAAGATTATGGTAAAAGTGTCATATTTTCATCCCACCAATGTTATGAGCAGAGAATTTAACAGAACCAACCCAACGTTAGATGCGGCGATAGATTATTGTCCGATTTTTTAATCCGATATCGAAAGAAACAAAATCAATAAGCAGTAGAAATTGCTTTTGGAATAGAGTGATTGTATCGACGAAATCTCATGGAGAAGCAAGCAGACGTGTTTTGGCTGAAAATTTTAAAATAGTATCATGAAAAAAATCAAATATTCAGAAGGCTTGCAAACTTTGTTCTGACTGTCTTTGTAACTATTGCCAATTCAAGCGCGAGTGTCGAACGTATGTAAAACAGGCTTAATTTGATGAAAACTGCGAGCACAAATAGGCTCAGTTTTATTAATTTACGGTCAGAATTATTTGCTTCTGAACTAATAAAATATCAAGATGGCATCCTCGATTTTCAGCCGTCTACCTTACCTGGCGCAGAGGCTGCCCTGATCACCAAAGCGGTTCCTCCACAGCGAGGCCCATCGATTGCACTACGATTGGGTTGACCTCTGTAAATATCCCAAATGTGGATATCTTAGCTGAAAAGCCAAGAAGCAATGTAACGACTATCATGAATTATCGTGATATATCGTGATAAATCGTAATAAATTGATATATTTAATGTATTGATCTATGAAAATAGTAATATATCCTGATATATCATGATATATCGTAATATATCGTAATATATCGTAATATATCGTAAATATAGTAATACATCGTGATATATCGTGCTATATAGTAATATATCGTGATATATCGTGCTATATAGTGATATATCGTGATATATCGTGGTATATTGTAATTTATTGATATATTTAATGTATTAATATATGCTTATAGTGATATATTGTACTATATCGCGATATATTGTGATATATTGATATATTTATTGTATTATTATATTAATATAGTGATATATCGTAATATATCGTAATATCTATATGTATAAAGCAGAAACGACGTCGGTTTGTATTTCATGTTCTTAAAAACTACCCGTACAATCGTTTTAAAATTTTTACCATACATTTACTATACCACTGTGAAGGTTTCTACGATCTTAGAATGCATTTTTCTTTTTTTGTTTTTGACTTTTGAATTTTTTTCGTTTTTTATCACTTCGCACACACTCACCCGCTCCCCCACTCTCATCGCACCCTCACACTCAATGCTCATCGCTCATCAGTCATTGGTGATATTCCACAATTTTTAAAAAAGTTAATCCAGAATTCTTCAGCTTAATCGTTAAAAGGCTTTGTTTAAATTTCCCTTTCACACGCAAAGAAAGTTGTCGTTGTCGTGCGATGAACGTTGCTTACTTCAAATCTTTGTCATTCCTAATTGTCCTACCCTCAAGCACTTTTGTAAATATATTCCTGAATGTCTTTTTGCATAAAAAGGCTAAAATATAATTTTGTTTTTATAAATATTCTCCTACTCTTTGAAATTTAACGTGAGCGAAGCCACGACGGGTACCGCTAGTATTGATATACTTAATGAATTAATATATGAAAATAGTAATATATCGCGATATATCATGATATATCGTAATATATTGATATATTGCTTGTATTAATATGTTAATATAGTGATATATCGTGATATGACGTAATATATCGTAAAATATTGTAGTATATCGTGATATATCGTGATATATCGTAATATATTGTAACATATCGTGATATATCGTGATATATTGATATATTTAATGTATTAATATATTAATATAGTGATATATCGTA